TGCAGTACCTAGGAAAGCCGCCAGGGGGCCCAAAATCTAATCATTTTTAGGTCTTATGAAGACCTACCCACCTACCAAGTTTCATTCCAATCCATCCACTGCTTCTCGAGTTATCTTGCTAAACCACAAACACACACACACACACACAAACGCTACTGAAAACATAACCTTCTTGGCGAAGGTAAAAAAAGAATCCATCTAACAAAATGGCAGGAGGAGACGACCATTGGAGAAATCAGATATGTTTCATCCATACCATCGTATAAAGTGAAATATATATTTTGAAATCTTTTCGCTTATAATTCACCTCATGTCATTTTAAAAAATCAGTTATACATACAAAGCGACATCCAAATGGCCCACCCACCAGTTTGGGACGGTGAGTGGCACACAGTCTGTACAACCTGGCGCAGCAGTGATGGAGCCTGGCAGCTCTACGCTGACGGCGTGCTGACGGATTCGGGTTCCGGGTTTAACGTGGGAGGAAGAGTGCGCACAGGCGGCACATGGATCCTCGGTCAGGATCAAGACGTAGTTGGGGGCCGATTCGAAGCACACCAGTCATTCATTGGAGAGCTGTCGGAAGTGAACCTCTGGGACCGAGTGCTGTCTCCTGCCGAAATAGCAGCGGACTGTAGTTACCATGGCAACGTGATTGACTGGGATACAACTAACATCACAGTCTTCGGACAGGCCAGCAGGGCTGAGTATCAATGCGGTAAGTAGTATATGCTCATTAATATATGGTGTTCTTTACAGCTTTACAGGACCTGCACATGTAGGGGAATGTGTCTTAGACAAGCTTTTCAGCACCAAGGAAAGGCCCTGTCATATTCGTCAATCTGCACAGAATTTCATACTGCTTTTTTCCCCCAATGTATGTAGTTTGGAACTAAAATAATACCAAAAATTGGTGAAACTGTACGTATGGTTTAAATAATTCAAGGAAACATGCCAAGAAGTAGGTATGATGAAAGTAACCTGTGATATATGCTTGCAGAAATTATGACTGGTAAAGCACATGACATTGATATAATTAGCATATATATATATATATACTAGAGTTCCCCGTGTTTCTCTCGTTCTCAATTACCAATGTCACAAGCTTCAATAGTCCTATCATGGAATGCAGCTGATTTATAT